TCTACAACTTATTAAGGTTTCTTAGATTAAAAGCCCTGTTTGGGTCAAGTCCGATGATTTAGGATACGTCCAGGTGTTGAGTTTGGTTACACAACGCTGGCACATAAAGACGAGACAGACAAGACAGATAAGCAGGGAGGAGAAGCTGTCTGACAGCTGCCAGCTCGGCTGGGGAACACTCCAGCGGGACCCCCTGTGAGGATCCCAGCCTGGGGTAACGTCTGCGCTCCAGTCGGGAAGGAAGACTTCAAACACAAAGCATGTACAACCTCTGCCCTCTGCAGCTCCCTCTCCTGCTGTTCTCCTGAGCTCTGAGGGGGATCKCTGAAGACCTGGCCAGCAGCTCTCTTCATATTGGATTGTGTCATCAGGACCAATTCGTTTTACTTTTAATTTCTCACAGCTCAACAGAGACACAAGGGGAAATGGATGTTTCATTAATGCATGAAGTCAAAAGGTCTTTACAGAATGGTTCATGRTTGATCTTTGCATTTACAATAAGAAGCACAGTTGTTGTTAACTTTAGAGAACATCAGGCTCTTCAGCAATGTCGATTATTCTCACTGCCTCATTGCCAAAGTGAAGCCATTGGGCAAAAACATAACGAAAGAACACAAAAATAGGTAGCAAATGATTGAATCCAGCATTCAAGTGTCAATTTTCAATAATYAACCAAATAATAAGCTCCATCATCAAACTGTAGTTGCAAGTGCCTTAAAAAGACACTGATTGGTTCAAACTTCTGTGTTTGGTAGAGATGGGTACTGAATTCGATACTTTTATATGTAGCGACCGAATTCTGTCGGTACTACCGAGTACCTGTKCACGTAACATCAAACGGTACCATGTTTCGGTACCTAAACGCATCATTGCGAYTGTATTGGCGTGAGAGTGGGAGATGTTCCATGCTTTTCCTGAACGCAGCATCACACAAGAGCGTAACGACGTAGCAGCCGTTGGTTCAATAAACCGAGTTCAGTCTGAACGTAGCATGAAAGCCTCGCAGCTCCTGGAGTAAAACTCGTTGAACAGACCGCCTCTGAATTATCTGGTGGATTATTTATCTTGTGAGCACGACGTTCGCTTGCTCAAAGTAAATAAAGTACCGCCACTTTCTTTATTTCATCCGYCATTAAAACAACAGAGGCGCWGTCCGACAGACTGAATGTGTCTGASCTGAAAGAACACAAGCAGCCAACTTGAAGCGTTGGGTGTGTTTTGGATGCTCAAAACGTAGCTTGAATACCTTTTATTTATTTTAACTCCATCCTCTTTTTTGCTTATTTGATTTAAACTTATTTGCCTTCCATGGACCTCCATCACACAATTTTTCTAGCTGGGAAATGACATCACTAGAAATATGTGGAGCTGGATTTTAATTTGTGCAATAAGACAAAACAGTCTTGTTCTTTTCAAGAGTTTTCACTTTAAAGAAGTTTGTTAAACAACTGATGTTACAATACAAAGAGTTGGATKTTGTCTTGATATTTGTTAAATTTTATACATTGAGAAATACATATGTTAAATAAAAAAAAAACAACAACACACAAAGTACCGAAAATTGATACCGTTAAGTACCGGTGCAGATTCCCAGGAACCAGATATTGGTACCGAATCGATTCAAATGTCAAGGGTACCCATCCCTATTGTTTGGTTACCCTATCAGATGGGAGGTAATTGAAAACCGTCATTACAAGCTAAAAAATATTAACAATATTGTGAGAYTGGAAAGTAAGAATTTGAGGTAAGTCATGGTAGTAGTCATTTAAATACTTGTTTGTTTCATTACTTCACATGGCTCAAAGAAACTTATTATCTCTTTCAGTTCTCACTTACACAGTTTCMTCATTTATAAATTATTGGCAGACTGACAACATGTCTAACAGAGTGAGACTCTTTTTGTTTTGTGATGTTTTAGGCCACTAAGGTCATGCAACACCTTCACGCTAATTAGGTGTATGCCTTAAGCATCTATGGCAGCACCATCAAAACTTATTCCTTTGAGCCAATCAACATACTGGCTTTCAACACATTACAGCCAAAAAAAAAACCTTACTGAGTGCATTCTGTAAATAGAAGCATTTCTTCCCAGCAATCCTCATTATCGACTCCCTACCGGTCTATCCTTTCATTATTTATTTAAACATTACAAATCTGAAGAAATTCACATACCAACACAAGGTCAGATGCCCAATTAATTTTAACAGAACTGACATTTTGTTTCTTTAGGGAGGTTTGTGTAACCTGAGGGCACAATTATCTGTATGCTGTGTAGTCAGCGATAAAAATGATCAAGGAAGCAAGCATGTGACCAAATGCTTTGGGTAAATAAGTCATTGTGAAGGGGATTTCTCAACTGCACAGTACTGTACTACTCATTAAAAAATGTTAGTAGGTTATGAAAAACTTAGTTAAGCAGCTTAATGATAACTACAGGAGAATAACAGAAAGATCTGGGAAAACCATGTACAAATGACAAGCAACAAGCCCTGTTAAAAAAATAAAAACTCCCTAAAGTCTGCCCCTCATTTCCTGAAAGCATGTCTACGACACATTTTAATCCTGAAGCACTAAGGTCAACAATCAAACCTAATCAGTCAAAAAGTGCTTTTACTGCAGAAAATCCAAGAAACCACAGATGACAATCTGGGAGACGAGGTCTCTGGGACCAGGGGTGTCTCAGCTGAGGACATTACTGCACGCAAAGCAGCCTCACACACATCCAAACGCACACGGGATCTGGTGGCAGACAACAGTCGCCTTGTCATCTTCGATTGTGGACCACTCATGTTGGACCAGCGACACCTCACACAAAGCTGGGCCTCGGCCCCCCTGGTGTCCCGCTGCCGCCACGGAGGGACTGCCAGAGAGTTACTTCAGCTCTACAGAACAAACACAGAAATCCGTCTGTGTAAAAGGCTAGTAGTCATGTTGAAATAATGCTGAAATATATCGGAGCGCCGAGGCGTGTAATCTCAAATGTACAACTATCTGACTTAACAAAAATGATATGACTTTTTGAGTGGTGCAAAAAGCTCTGTTTTATCCAAAATGGAAATCCTGAAGACAGATGTTTTTGACTCTGATACTTCCAGCAACACCATAGTGTCTCACATGTTCAGCAGATGGCAGAGAGTGGATGGCACACATGTTGTTCAGATGCATATCTATCACACAGACAATCCAGACTATCCGCACAAAGTCAAGTATCATAGCATTGAAGGAATGTGGTGTCTTATATATAGGAACTGTGTGTGCACATTTGACTTTTTTAATCCTAGTCAATGAAGCAGACAACACTGTTTACAGAAAACGTTCCATTTTTATAAAATGTTAAACCTGTGCTCTAATTTCCCAGTCAGACTCCACCCTCATTATAAATAYACTCCTATTATATTCAAGGTTATTGACACTGATAAACATAAAGATAAAACAGTGCCCCAGATTTTAACCTGTCCAACTTATTCAATACGCCATCACCTTTTTCTGTGTTAGTGAGATGAGTACAAACGTACCGTAGTTTAAAAAACTACATTTTTAAAGAAAAAGAAGTCCAGTTTTTATTTTTGTGACTTTATTCTACACTTATATTCATATCTTGATCCAATTTTCTTTCTACATCATCTTCACAGGTAGGACGAAGATTTCCTTTGGCAAATGATCTTTATCAGTTACTTTTGTCTACATGACACAAACCTTCCCAGAAGCACAGATAACACTGCAGGAAACTCCCTGGTAAGGTGTAATTCCACACAGACAGAATCTCCATGTTAACGTGCAAAGCGTGTGGGCAGCAGTTTTTTTTTTAAATTTGTTAGCAAAGATATTCCCCCTTCTACTTTATCAAACGTACAACACCTAATTGAATATTTTGTCTGGAACGTGAGTGTGCTTGTGAGAGTTGGTGACGAGGCCTACAGGTGTGGAAAACACGTGGAACTCCATCAAACCATAGATTACCATTAGAGAAGCACAATACATCAACATAAACTGTGCAAAGAGATCCTGGACATGGACCAGCAGATTAGGGAACTTAATATGCCAACTTCGAGGGCCTTATTTGTATCTCAACCACACACCCATCCTTAGTATGCATATCCAGTGCCTGTGTCACTATCACGRTAGTGAACAGCCAGCAAAATGAGCGACGCCTCAAGRTCTGTTCATATGTCGGGATTTGAGGGGCTGCCGATGTTGACCCTTTATTGTTAGGTGCTCCCTTTGTGGCCAAACACTTCACTGTACTGCGAAGGGGGAAAGAAAGGCCTTCTCTAACAGTCGGTCATGCCCCAGTGCTCCTGGCAACAACAGGTCCCAAGGACGCAGACCGTCCTGCCCTATATTGGCTTGGCTCTCCATTAGCGGTGGCGACACTAGCCCCCCGTCAGCTGTCCCATTCTGGGGCCGAGTCGGCCCTTTATTAAAGCTTTGAAGACTGCTGAACAAAGGGGTGTCCTATGTTTAGATGATAGAATGTAAGCAACTGGTTTTCTGCTTGGGCAACACAAGACAAAGAGCCTCCTTCAGAATACAGGGAGTACGCATAAGAGAATGAGTGAGAAAACTAGAGAGGGAGAAAGAAAGAAAAAAAATGAGGGGTTCATACCATGTTGGAAGGATACTCTATGAGATGCCTGCAGTGGGGTGGATTAAAAAAAAAACTAGAAGCCTTATTATTACAGGTGGCTCGGATGCTCTGAGATTAAAAATTGCAGAGCCAAAACTTTCCTTGGTTATAAAAGAATGTGAGCATTTGTTGTAATCTCATCACGGCCAAAGGCTAAACCACATTACACRTTACTGGGTTTTATACCGACACCCCCTTCACCCCAAAAAGCTGCAAACTTCTGCAATACATGCTTAAAATGTAAAAAAATAAATAAAACTAGACAAGTATAAGTAGAGAAAAGGATGCATTCAATTAAAAAATAAACATTTTAAGTATTAATGTGAGAGCTTTTGAGCAAAATTGATGTTATATTTTTTGCACGCTTACATACCTGGTCATGGCTGGCTTGGAGGGTGCTCCCGGTGCCGTGGAAAGTCATTTGCACTGGGGATAAGGTCAAGTAAGTCACAAACTCCTTCCCATTCTGTGCATCACTGTACTGCACCTGAGGAAGAAGGAGGGGGAAAAACACTCAAACTCATGTCACAGAAAGGAACAGAAACATTCAGGTGTTCAGTGATACAATCTTGATAGTAGAATGTGATTGGCTTCCCATCTAATCTTACATGTCATTGTCATGGCTAGGTATTTGTGGATAATTATTCCTCGGCACACATAAATGGTAAGAAAGGCGATGAGTCAATGTTTGTGTGGTTTTACGAGGGAGCACCCGAGGTTGAGATCATGTGACCTCAGAATCTAAAGGCCAACTCTGCAGGCATTTTTAAATGTTGTGCAATCAGGACTATTCTGACACGATGTTCCTCTGGGACAGTTTACTTTTGAGATGTAAGGGCATTTACCAACACTGTTTGTCTGCCCTACTTCTCGCTGGCTCTGCCCCAAAGTTCGTCTGTGCGTTTGTATGGGTTTGCATGTGTTCGCTCGGCTTACTTATTTCCCAGASAGCTGCAGGCATCCTAATAAATAGCACAAAGAAGGGAAATATCTAACTAATTCAAACAGACAAAAGCGCAGAAGGATTGAGAGGGGATTCCAATTTGGCTTTGCACTTCAATATGAATAATGAAAACGGTAAGCTTGCAGATATAGAAGATGYAATCTGAAGGCTTCCCATAAACTGAATGAACTTCAAACTACTCCGTTGAATCGACTTATGTAAGTCATATGTTTATTTCAACACTAAAAAGTTCTAACAGTTAGTTACTATTGAGGTAGACTGACTAATCATTGATCAAGTAGTGTAATTTTTTTTAATAATCAGCCAGGCCTGAGTATACTGAGCCAACAAAGAAGCACTTGGCAACWGTGTTGTCACACATGATACTACACACTTGCATTGATCAAATAGCACCATGATGTTTGTRTATAGCATAACAATGGCAGACCTCAAAGAAAGATGACTATAATATTGAGTTGCAACTGTAGGTTATTTTTTTCCTYATATTCTGTTACAGTCATGTGTCAATGATAAGCAACACATAAAGGGGAAAGGAAAAAATAAAGAAAATCAGTCCAAAGAACACTAATCAACTGTCCTATCAGACAACCTTGTAAGAAAATGTGTTGTTACTTTGCAGCTGAAGCAYGCACAGGAGAAAAATTAAGATTTTAGACGTGAACATTTATTTTCACACATAACTCTGGTCCATTCTGGGAGATCCAGGAAATGGCAATAAATCACACATGACCAGAGTCAAGTCCCACCCCAGATATTACGTCACAATAAACAACGAAGCAAAGACCTATGTAATACATTACATTTTTCTACTTTTGAAGCAAGGCACGTATAAAGATAGAGACTTGTAGATTTTTTAATCTGTTTAAAATAAATTATGACAATCGATCAGAAAGTATAAAATATGAGAGTATATCTAAAATTCAAAAATAACACAAAATATTCATCAATCAATGTTACTGTGATGCAACAGAATTATATTGCCCAGGCTTTTTTTTTTATCTTAAAATTTTACTATATGTGGAAATACTGTTAATGTGGTGGGGAAAAAAAGATAAGGCAAGAAAGATCAAGCTTGTGGAATTTATTAAAAAAGAAGAAGAAGTTAAGCAGAAAATCCCAGGGCTACAAGCAGCAGATTACGTCTTAACAAAGATGATCAGATAATGACTTTAAACAAAGCTTATCAGGAAAAAAATAAGTACCAGTAGACTCGTCTGGACTGGAGGGTCGTTTTACTTAGAGGGAAGCATGATCTTGCATAAAACTGAGCAGAAGCACAATACATAATAATTCTGCTACCRACTGATGAAGACACAAATGATAGATGAACTGTACTTATATAGCACCTTTCTATCCAATCAGGACACTCAAAGAGCTTTACAACACAATCTGCGCCCTCATTTACTCATTCGTTCAGCAGTTTACAAACAATAAATCTACAAACTGAATAAATCATTCTATGAAGACTAATCAATCGACACGTGACTGAACAGGGATGGAGCCAAACCCCTAGCTATCTCATCGGAGGATGATTGTGATAACCACTCAGCCCACAAATACCAGAAGAGCATTCAGTAAATCTTATTTTCTATAACAGTTTGCAGCATTTGAATTTATTTACAATTAATGCTTTGGTTTCTCTTAATATTTATTTTGGCAGCGTACATCTGTGTGTTTACTTTGTGTGCGTTTGTACACCAAATCTCATCACTGAGCTCTCCGTCACATGTGTGTAYGCACATGAACACACAAGCCGGTTGGTCGTATACGACCTGTGACTGAAAGCTTCCAGAGTTTGTGTGTGTGTGTGGGTGTGTGTGTGGTTTCTTTCAGAATAATTTATGGCCAGCCAGACAGACACATGGAAGTCTGGCTGGCTGATCATAATTCACACACCAACACTGTGAGATATGAATATCTGTCCGTGAAAGCACGAACAACCACCCAGTTGCATACGTCCAACACATGCTGGCATGCACGGGCGTTCAGATGAGATGGGCTCACGGTGATAAATTGTGGAATGCTATCTGTTATGAGGATGAATGATGAATGTTGTAAAGTCAACCATGGAAAAAAGCCTTCCCAGACAGGTTAATCTCTAATAAATTCTCCAGGCTGGAGGAAAAAAAAGGGGGGGGGGAGTAGTTGTGCTAGAAATAATTATATTTAATAAATATTTCCACGACAGTAGTTTAAGAGTAACAATACAATAATTTGGTTATAAAAGCCCTATGATGGCAGGTCTGAAAATACCCTGTATAAACAAGCTGAGAGAGTAATTACGTACTGTGTTTTAAATATGTCTCGTGTTTTTTCACCTTTGTTTAGAATCCCGTGATGTATGATTTAATCATGCTGGTCAGTGGGCACTCTGCTCGGTTCATCTGTTGCAAAGACTCCAGCTGAACTGGCGCCCCTACGATGGTGTTGGAAGAAGTATCTGTTGCCTTACAACCTTTTATTGCAAGGTCATTTGTATTTACCAAATTCATAATGAATCCCAATAAAAACTACAAAGTACAACACAAGTTTAACTTGTGTAAACAAACAATGAGCTTTTTATGGTTTGTGGCAATAACATTAAAAGAGTACAACTTTTATTTAGTTAAATGTTAAACATATTAAATGCTAGTTTTGCATGTTTTAAGCCTAAACCAGTCCTTTGATCAATAATATGTGATAGTAATTACATTCATGAGCATTGATTTTTATATATAGGGTTTTAATAATGCCACTTTTTGTTTGTTTTGTTAAACCTTGTGTAAAAAATAAAAGAGTGGGGCCTTCTTTCTACATTTTTATTTGGTTCAATTCTAAATATACTACAATGAAGTTTTATTTCATGAACATCATACATGTCAACCCCTTTGGACGTTTGCCTGTATAAACAGACTCAAAAATCCATACGTTTTGCTAAAAAAATCCATACAACTCGCACCATGGAGGGGTCAGAACAGGTTGGAAGATGGCTATTTGATGTTATCTATTTTTTTTTTATCATCCTACAGGCTACATGTTAGATAAATTTGAAAAAAAAAATCTGTAAGACTTGAAAAAAACCCATAAGATTGCTCTATTCATCCATATACCTGCAAAATGACGTAAAATCCTTATAACTTGCGGACAATCCATACAACTTGACATGTATGCAACATACTCAAACACAAGAAAGACTGACATGAAATTACAGGAAACTATCAAAATTATTTCTACAATCCACTCTATGAGCTGACTTTTTTTTTACTATTCCTTGGCTGCAAAGCTTTCATTTTCTCCTTTTTATTCTTTTCAGGGATCTCTAAACCTGTTAACGGTGCTGCGTTTAGGCTGTACGAGACAATGGACTGCATACGTAAACATGATGTGTTTCAAAAATCAGCCAAATTCTGCTAACAACTGCAGAATTGGCAGGTCACCAAACATCACCCCGAGGTTCTTCTTTCTTGGTGGTTTTTTGATAAAATAGAGTGCCTGATTACTCAGAGGTCTTACCAACGTCTTTGACCGGCAGGCAGGAAAGAAACTGACTGACCTGGCACCATCAGAGAATCCCACAGGATCGTCTCATTTGTGAAGGCGGCGGAAACTAAAATAACGAGCATCTTAAAAACAAAACGTCTTTTCTCAAATCCAGCCCGTCTGTTCTGAGTGCATATTTGCATGCATCTGTGAGTGCATGCATTCTAAACAAGCCCAACTAATCATCCCTGGTCTCATCACAAAACACAGCCTCTAATCCACTTCCTTCTGAGACAAAGAAGCAGAGGAGTTATGCAAGACCTGCAATTGATCGGTGGCACTAATGTGGAGCGACCTCTGACATCTGGCTTCTAAAGCAGGATGGTTCCTCCCTTAATACCAACGGCCTCCTTCATTTGAACAAATTCAAACACGCACAAACTAAAGCTGCAATCAAAATCAGCTTTCATGAAAGCATGCTAAACGTTGTCAAACAAACAAATCAACGTGGGTCAACAACTAAAATTAGTCATTTGCCATGAAATGAATGCAAGAAGAAAAAAAGACAGAAGGATGGAGATAAATGTGGGGAGGTAGACTGATGCATTATTCAAGTTTAAATACACCTGAAACACACAACAGGAAACAACCGGACCAAAAACCTCTAACTTGAGAGGAGGTTGATCATCAAAGAGCACAAAAACAAGTTTGACTTAATAATGAGCTCGCCCTCTCAGCTGTGGAAAGCTGACTTTGTTTGTGAAAAGCAATTAGGCTCCACAAAAAGCCACTTCATTGGGGTCAAGAGTATTTAGGAACACTATTAATCTTCCTTCCACTTCCAGTAATAGCAGGATGTTGAGGAAAACAAAAGGTTTTACTCTGAAAACACACTCAACATTTTAGTTCTAAATAAAAAAAGAATACACAAAGCAAGCTCTGCTGAGATCAGTCTGCTGATGAGAAGTTGGTTTCTCAAGAGCAGGTTAAAAATAACTGACCAGAAAACACACACGCCTTTGTCTCTGCGCCGTCTCCCCCAAGAACAAAATTTGTCCAATCTC